AAATCAGTATTTTCGCGACATCAGCGTAAAAAAGCGCTGTTACACTAAAAAAAATGAGAGAGAAACAATAAGGGAGCACATTTACAGCGTACAATTATCAAGGGGAATTTTTTTTCGGGAACGGAAACAACGTCACAGAGTAGGAAAGATTGTGAAGAATATTTCAATATTAGAATTTCGTTTGACACAACCACATTGTATCCACTTCTTTTACGTCATTGAAATGCTTAGCATTCCTTTACTTATATGTACGTATTCCATGGAGCATGGAAGCTCTGTAGTTCACATTCAGCTCCTTTTAATTAAAATTGATGCATTCTCTCTATACCTATAGGCTGCTTTATTGCTTGGCTCATCGTCGGCCTCGTTTGCTAATTGTTGATGACCTGTGTAAGCAGCGGCAATGGCGAAAATTGCTAAAATTAGACTTATACAGTAAACAATACTAATAGGGCAACAAACATTGCTAACAACTTTTCTCATTACTGTGTTAATAGTCCAAACACTTCGTCGAATGATGAAATTGCACATTTTTCTTTTCGACTTCAATTAAAACGAATGAACATTCCGAATAATTAAGAATTTTTTCCGTACTGGATGAAGAAAAACTTCTACATGTGAAGACCGTCATTCAATTAATAAAGAAAATCTACAAGAACTATACACAATCTGAATCTTCATTATCTTACATTGATTGATTTGCCCTAATGCAGGAGTAAGACTAAAGTTGCTATTTTCGATACGGGTTATCCTGTTCTAATGTTTAGAGGTGAAACAGAGAAGGGGGTAGACTTAATTATGCAAATAAATAATCAGTTTAAATAAAGCTGAAGATAATTGGAGCACAGGCCTTTTCTGTCTACTGACCAATAGCACACACCCAAAAAAAACAACTGAACATTCAAATCCAAAATGAAATTTATTTATGTATTTAACAAGAGTTGAAATTTACAAGCCGTATCCAAAGCTGTTGAAGAAGAAGAGCGTCAGCCTTTCAGATTAGCTTAAATTAATAGACAGAGGTATGGACATGGACAGTGGACATCCCGAAGAATTTACCATAATTGGTTGGTAGTATGTGTGCGTACGTTTTTTTTCTTCTGCCAGTTTGATCTTTCGTGCTTTTGAAATCGTTTTATATCCTCTGTCGGGAATTTTTTTTTAACGATTCGGGAAAATCCCCCAGAGCTATGATAAAATGGAGTGAAAGAAAAAATAGTGGCTTTATTATTGCGCATGTTTTTTCTAATACTAAATCATTTACATTGGATCTTTGCTAACCGTAAAAGTTTAAATGATATCAAAAAAGTACCACAACTGAGTATGCCTCATTTTTCAACCATTTCAGCTGTTGCATAATTGAATGACATATATATATATATATATATCACAGCCGGCGACAGCAGGCGCGAGTGACGAAAGCACCTCTGTGCTGAAAGTCGAACTCGCTATATATACACGCAATTTCGAACTTTTTTCCTAAGAGGCCATCTGGTATGAATGAAGTATCGCTAGAAAGCCCCTGGCTCATAGGCCCAGAAAATGCATTCAAACTTGGGAATCGACCAACCGCCTCCATAGAAATAGCCACTTGAAAATTATGTACAATTATCAGTTTTTCCCATTTACCGGGGGGTGGACGCGGCCCAGTCATCTCAAAACATGGTTTTTCTGAAGCTTCTCGTCGAGACCTTTCCAACAAGATCAAGAACGTCGAAATCGGACCATCCGTTCATGAGTTATGACGATTAAAAAAAAAATTGGCGTCTCCATCAATTATTCTGAGATAATATTTTTTCTGTCCGTCCGTCCGTCCGTCTGTCCGTCTGTCCGTAGTTTTTGCCCGATCTTTTTTAATCTTTCAGGCATTGAAGTATATCAAAAACTAAGACTTTTTTGTTCCGCCATTTTTTGATTTGGCCGCCATCTTGGCCTTGGCCGGCCTTTGAAAATTCAAAATATGGCCTTCTTTCCAATGATCACTGTACCCAACCCAGTCAACCGATTTCAGACGTCTGGGTATCGTTGGAAAGGTCTTGAGGCCAGCTTTCAAATGACATCTATTTTATTTTGAAAAAATTGAGTTGACATGGTCTTATGGGCAGAAACCCAAAAAAATGGTCACCTGGCCTTGCATAAATCGGCCATTTTCTCGAAAACGGCTCCGACGATTTTTTTCAAAATTCTCTGGAATTTAGCCCCAAGTTAGAGCTAAAATTTGACATATAGCTTATATCTAGGAAAACTCTGTTTTTTGAGATATAGCCATTAGAAGTTGGAAAAAATATGAAAAATCGACAAAAATCAACTAAAACTCATTTTTGTTGCCGTTAACAATGGCAAAATCATAACCAAAGTGTTTTTGCGTTCAGATGAATAAAATTCCTTCAGATACCAGCCCCTCACCAAGTCTTTTTATTCCACGCAATCAACAAAAAACACAAAAAAGTACTTTTCATGAAAAAATCAAAATCAAAAAAATTCATCATGAAAAAACTAAACATGTGATAGTTTCTTAGTATAAAAGCGATATGTACATGCATTAGTGCCGCAAATTGTTTCAATATTTCGATCTTTGCATCATGGCATTGGCATTGGCCATCTTGGCCAGAGGTTGGTTGCAGATAAATTTCAAATATCAAATAAATTTATCCGATATTTTTCATGCGTTGTGTTGTTCTGATGCATTTGCAGTACATAAACGAGACATCGGCTGTTGTATTGGCAGCCAGCTATTCATCGCAGGAATGAGATTTTTGGTTTGTTCATTTACCGATATTTGTAAACAAGTCTGCCACTGTGTCATATAGTCCATAAGAAATGTGCAGAGACGAAAATGTTCGCCATTTATTTTTACATTGCAAATACATTAGTTATGGAGATTTTTGTTTTATTATAAACCGAATGAAAACGGAGTATGACATAGGCTGGCTGTTAATCTTATTGCAAAATTCTATAACAAAACAGCTGATATCAAATGAAAAACTTTCCCAAAGTCAATGCTCGTGCCGAAAGCGAACATAAAACGTGTGATATCAATTTTGAAAAATCATTTCGGAGCGATTTTAATTCGCCTATCTTGCATTCATCCAACTATCGCTCCGAAATGATTTTTCAAAATTGATATCACACGTTTTATGTTCGCTTTCGGCACGAGCATTGACTTTGGGAAAGTTTTTCATTTGATATATATATATATATCATATACAGTCTTCTCATAACAAATAAAAAAACATACATAGCATAAAAGTTTTTGTGAAACTGATAACATTTCCTTTCTTTCGGAAAAGTAACGAAAAAAATGTAATAAAAAAGGGGAACCGAATGCTGAGCCACATAACAAACAGTAAAAGCTAATTATAATCTTCTAAGAGAATATATGACGATAGCTCATTGAAGGTAGCATCGTATCCAAATGAGAATATCTTCGGTTAGCCGATGGTCCCAATTCACATGTTGTTCTGAAAATGTACAAATTCGACAAACACTCTGTTTAATGAATCCTCGCGTCTGTTTCTGAGCTAACACTCGCATGCACAGGCACACACAGCAAAAAAGAGAAATTAAGACCAATTATCATTAACGTTAAGTTCATAAAATACTTTTAGCGCTTAATTTACGAACCAAAAATTCTTACAGCAATGAAGATAGCTCTTGCGAGACTCGGTTTCAGTTACAGTTTGAAGAGCCAGAGCGACGCGCGTGCACATGTGTGTATTCACTTTGGTAATGTTTTTGCTGGCATTTCATTACATTTTAGCAAAAATCTTAGAATGGAGCATGTGTGGTTTTGGCCAATGGTTGGAAAAACGAGAATTCGAACAACCTGATTGGATTTACTTGGAAAATCTGCCATTGGGTGTGATGAAAAAGAGCGCTTTACATTAACAGTTCCACGAAAGGCCGATCAAGAAAAAAAACACAACGAGAAATTCCACCAAACGCACAAATCCAATCGCATAACATAGCATAGCATTGACCATACTGGAATTGAAATGGTGAAACAGAGCAGCAGTGTCAGGATTATATTATTAACTCGAATGATACTTTTAAGTTCCTTCTTGTTGGTTGTTTGCTAATTCGTTGGGCCGTAATAACCATAGTTATGCATACAGAAAATTTCATGCAAAAGAACGATAATAAGTAGAAAACCAAAAACAATGGCAAACATATACAGTTTTGTTAACAAACAAAGAACGAAAGGAAAAAATAACAGGAGGCCCAAAACTTGGTAATTGCTATGAACACTCGTGAAATACTCTGTCTCTCTCTCTCGACACACAGTCGAAGAGCAAACACTGGTTGAATTCCGGCATTGTTTTATGCCAGTGCAGTCTTTTTTTCTCGGCTGGTTTTGTGTGTTCTCTGTTTATCACTGTGTGTCACCACATACATAACATGGTAATATGTGTGTACACTGTACACTATATATATACACACGCACACTGTACATTGTCTGTTTGCACAACCGTATTCGCCCATATTGCCCATGCCAATTATATTAACTATCAAACTTTATGTTAACACCACATGACTTTATCGCATCCAAATAAAACATATGCATATAAAGAGTCATAATGGTTTAGTAAATGACAGTAGCGCTGATAATTGTTGGATATATTCAACTGCGTCAATTACACATATTAAACATACGGTTGCTCGGTATCCGATGACGGTTGCTTAGAGCGCAGGATAACTGACGGTTATGATATATTTTTCATATATATGCTCAAACGAAACTCGAATACATGCTATCATCATTATTGCATTGAACATCACCAGATGGAAAGCAAGCAATATATATTCATGGCAATATATTGTCAGAAAAGTACAAATTATTTATTTGAAATTCCGAAGGGTTCAATTTCTATTAATATTATCCCTTTGAACAGAGGATTTGGATGGAATAACACGATTCACTAAATTCGTTGATTTTTTTCCCTTCTCATAGCATACTCATATTAATCGTATGTATTGATTCTTCTTCTCTATATTCGCAGGCATGAGGTGAAATCATTGAAGAAAATACGAGGCAGCCAATCGTCAAGCTCTACACATGCCGGATCGAATGTTGGCAATAAGGAGCGTTTGACAGTTGATTGGTTTTTGAAGGTTATTGCTGAATTTCGTGCTGAATTGACTGAATTGCAGGATGCGCAAAATAACACCACCCGTCGTTTGCAGCAACGTAATTGTGCCGAAGAATTGGTGGAATTGCGTGACGACTTTGATAAATTGAAATTGGAATGGAATGCGATCCGATTGCGACAAGAGAATCTCGAGCAAACTATGAAAGACCTGCAGACCGAAGCGATTCAACGTGATGACGATTTTCGACGTAGTCAAATCCAAGTACGTATATATGCTCAGTAAACTCTATCTGAACATAATCTTCTATTCAAACTCATCGCTCACCATCTGATTTGATTCCTGCCGATTATGTTATGTGCGACACCGAATGTTCAATGCGGTCAAACATTGGCTTAAAGGAAATCAAAGCCGAAATGAATTAAAGTTAAATCGAAATCCATAAACACCTGGTCGATTCAGTTGTATCCGCACGACGAGTTTTATTAAAATACCCGAGAGTGAGACGAGATGGTGACCAAAGGCGCAGATAGTATGTATACTGTATGGCATATGCGTTGATTGCACGAAATCAACGTCGGCATGGAACGAACCGATCCAAATAATAACGAAAATTTTACACAAATTTATAGTCACTTCTGATGATTTTAAGCATACAATATGTTCGTTGGTCAGAGTCGAAAGGTATACATACCATGAAATCACTGCGATAATGTATGTTGGTTTCTTTTCTTTTGGAACAATCATAAAACTGGTCAATGGTTCCGTCAAAAGCAGATGTTTTGCATCGCTCTTCTTTTTCACTTGAGTTTTTTTTCGGTTTATTTTTGTCGTTTTTTTTTCGTTGGTCTTTCGAATCTTTTTCCATCTTTTGTTTTTCGTTACTTTATCGTCGGTTCTCTTCATATCGATCGCTCATGAGCAATACATGTGATGGGTATAATGGTGTGCACGATGTACGTAACGGTTCAGTGAGTTCGTAAAACTTGTTGTTTTTAGCATCTCCTTTTTACTTTTTCTTTTGCTCCGTCTCTGTCTCTTTATCTCTTTTTAGCAATTCACTTCATTCGTGTAATTTGATTACGGACCTTCCCGCATTAAACTAAATAACTTTTCAACGAGGATAGGTGTTTGCAAAGTACTTTCCAATGATAGATCACACTCACATTCAACTCATACTTCTATCAATTATCCAATCACATTGTAAATAATTTCTCGTTTGTATTTATTCGTCTTCATTGAATCGAGTCCAAACTGACCAATGTGTAGTTTTGTGACTGCATTGGGCACATGCTAGACGAAAACACATTTTTTCAATCGGAAGAGATTGACTTGCGTCATCTACACACCTTGATTATTATTATTGTTATTATTGGCCAGGCAGACCGTATCGGTGTGAATGAAATGAAAAGTATTTCGGTATATCTTTCCCACTCACTGAGCTGCTGTTCGATGAATACACATTTGATTGAACTGGCCACCAAGGTGCTCGCCTCTTTTTCAAATCATGCTTTCAGCTCATTTCTTCTGACGTCCACTTTGCCACGTTGCTGTGCCATTCAGAAAAAAGGGCATTTTTGTTGTTGGGTTCCTTTGATGTCACCTTTATTTTATTCACGTACAAAATATCAAATCAAACAATTTTCGACGGTGTACACCATTTTCAACTCATACAGGTAGTTTTGATTTCGATTTAGCTCACTACATCCCAAACGTACGCATTCACGTTCATTCATCTGATTGTTGGATATAATATTCCATTTGTCCACTTTTCTTACAACACAAAGCGTAGCAGTTGTTTTCATTTCATCTGCTTTATTTTGTTCGGTTCATTTGCTTTAATGAGCATCTTTTTGGATCTTTTACACCATATCTATGGGTGAGGTTGAGAGGTGAGCATGTTTTACACACTTTGTTATGAAAAAGGAGAGTAAGTGTGGTTCCACTGAAAAGTAGTCAAACATGAGTGCGAAGGATTTAGAATGTTTGTAGCCGTGATAAACGAGAGCATGTTTCATATAACTTAATTTGTATTAGTGATGACCACGTTTTTTTGCAATAAAGTAAGTGGGAATTGGAAATAGAGTAATTGTTTTTGGTTTACCCGACTTGCGCACAATTCACTGACGCTATGTTTATTCAAGACAAACTAAAGAAAACTCGTCCCTCCCACAAAAACATACTCACCTTATCGAACATCTAAATCGACAACAACGAACACACTCTGCTCTGAATCTCACCTACACAGATACATTGTCGATACCTTTTGATGATATTATTTCGAGATAGGTTTTAAATGGCTTCGATTGCCAGCAAATGAATAATATTCAGTGGATCAATAAATTTCATCAAAGGGAGGTCCATGAATTATTTATGGCCTGATTGCGACATTTCTATCGAATTTTATACATATGTCATGTGAAACTCCCATGAAATAACACTCGCATTAGATTTTTAAAAGGTACATTCCATCAATATCACCATCAAAGCATTTGGTTAAATTGGAAATGAGATTGAAAATTCAGTGTGTGACCACGGCTCTCTCAAAATAAAATAAATACATAATCAAAGTATTGACCAATGTACATATCCATTACAGTTTTCGCCATTTTGTCATATCGTTTGGCTCAAAGTACACGAACAAACGCAATGAAAATTAATCGCACAAGAGATGTTATTTATTTTTGTAAAATTTCATATTTGAGATTTAAAATCAGTTTAGAACGAAATATCGTATTTCAGTTGAATCATCCAAAATTTATCATTGGTATAAAAAAAAATTGTGATTCGATCAAATAATATCCTATAAAATCAGTCAAAAACTACAGAATGATGTGAATGCATGTGTTCCCGCAAAACGGATTTTTTTCGCTCTAAATAACGACGTAGAACAGCAAAACCAATAATGGTACTGGGATTGCGATTGTACCATTTGATCGAAGAAATGATTGCACATGCTCTGCTTCCTTCGTTAGAACGGAGTATCTTTTACTCATCAAAACTAACGAGTTTCCGATATGCTATCGCGATATTCTTCATCAGTGCTATCGAACGAACGAGAAGAAAGGCATATTGTGGCAAATAAGCTGGACCTATATATGCTGCTATGCTGCTACACCAATAACAATGGTTTGTTTTACCGATTTAGTGGTACACCTGCTCGTCATTTCGTCGTTTCGCTGTGCCTTGTTTACTCGGTCTCTCTTGTTTTTATATTTCGTGCGCATTTCTCTTTCATCAAAACAATGTTCGTAATTAATTTCAATGACGATGATGACGATGCAGTAACAGCACCAGAGCATTTATCTTGATTCCAAAACGTACAAATAAAAATGAGCGCATATTTATCGAATTCGTTTTTTCTTCTTCTGGTGATTGGTCCGGTTTTGAATGGAATCTTGGTTATTCAATTCAAGTTGTGGTCAGTTGAATTTAATATACTTGTAATTTCATATGAGATTCGATCCTGTATTTAAACGATGAATTTCTTTGCTGTGTGCCGATCGACCCACTTGTAGCAGTGAAAGTAGTGCTCGACATTTTTTTTATAATAGCACTAATCAAAAAGTACCCATTTGTGGAATCAATGCATTGAACGAACTAACGAATACAGATTGACTTTTTTCGATATCGTATTAATATTTCGACATCGCATTAATTTAATGTTATTAAAATATTAATAACAAAAAATGTTATTACTTTTCCGTACACAACGTGTCAAGAGGAAGTATAGGAATTGGTCCCGAAAACTTTTTTTCGCAAAATTGGTTTAGATCATCATAAAAACTCATGAACACTTTTTGAGACACTTTTCCGTTCGTGTGCCGTCGTCGTCGTTGTCGTCGTCGTCGTCGTCGTCGTTGGTGTGTGTTAACACGATAACTCAAAAAATAATTGAGATAATCAAAATCTGGAAATGCCAAAAGTTTTGTATTCAAAAAACTTAGTTTAAGTTCGAAGATGAGGCATTTTTGATTTGATCCTGGGGTACTTGCCCTAAGAAAAACCTAAAAAAATTGACACTTTTGTATGGGAGGTGCCCGTAAATCGACTACGATTGGCTTCAAACTTTCTGGGATTTCATTTTTTGGGAGAAAAATTAGATTCTGAAAGTTTCACGTTGATCGTATTTGCAGGTTTGATTTTTTGTCCTCAATTTTTTTCGAAATTTTCTTGGAAAAAATTGAGGGCCAAAAACCAAACTTCTACAAAGGCGATCAACATGAAACTTTCAGAATCTTATTTTTTCTCCAAAAAATGAAACTTCAGAAAGTTTAAAGCCAATGAGAATCGGTTTACGGGTACCTCTCATACAAAATTTTCGAAGTTTTAGTTAAAGGTGGGCGTTTTGCGATTACTTAATCACTTGCACAATCATTTTTCGGATGATTAAGACGGCACTTAATCACTTAATCGCTATTACTCATGATTAAGTGATTGTGCAAGAGATTAATTAATCATATCGAAAAAAAATCGAAGAAAAAAATCGTCTGGCCAAAATTGACATGTTTTTTGTATGAAACTTTTTCCTCGAATTTTTTTCGATATGATTATTCGATTGCACAATCGATTGCACAATCACTTAATCGGGATTAATAGCGATTAAGTGATTAAGTGGTCGTATTAATCATCGCGAATTTCGGGTTTTGATTAAGATTAATAAATCTTAATCAGATAGTCCACCCATCTGTAGTTTTAGTTAAAGTGACCGATTTTTCACTTTATTTTCATTATAATATTTTCATTGCCTTTATTTCAATAAAATTCACAAAAAATAACCAAAAGTACCTACGGACAACGCAGGCCAACGGTACGGATAAGTTCGGGATTACCAATGTAATTCTTTTTATTACTTTAGTGTTAGTGTTAATAACTAATAACATTAACGTAGTATTAAAATATCAAAATATCAAAAAAAAGTTTCATACTAGACCTAAAAAATGTTGAAAAAATTGCGTCTGGAAAAAATCGACATGTTTTTTTGTATGAAACTTTTTTTTTTTATATTTTAATATTACGTTAATAACAATAGTTATTAAATTAACACTAACACTTACGTTAATATTAATGTCATTATTTGTTATTAACATTAACATTACGTTAATAATATTTTATGTTATTAACGATATCGCGAAAATAACGATATTTTAATGTTAATAATTATTAGAATATTAATGCCGGGAAATCTGTACGAACGAATGCGAAAAATTCGTTCTTATAATACCATGGTATCCCATATTTATTCTTGCAAAATAAACCGAGAA